AACTTACTTTTACCTACTTTTACTTACTTCTACATATTTATACATGTAATTATTGGCTTACATGTGTATATCCGTGACAATTTATCTACTTGCAATGAATACCTTCATGGGATATAATGCTAAGATATTTTGTGAGATTCAAGGCCTAATAGTTCTAATCTTATAATAGAAGATAAAATCTAATACTCTTAATAGCATCTTTATCAAATAGCTTGAAACAACTAACTTCCTTACCAACAAAATGATCTTGAACTTAAATATAATGATGTATGTCATTACTAATCACTATATTATTATTTTTTTAAATGTACACAAATTTGTTGTCAACTTCACAACTTGGATTGAAGATAATCTCAATGATGTTGAAGAAATTGAATACAACAATTTATTCCAAGACATAGGTTTTATCTTTTTTGTAGCATGTGATTGCATTAAGGACATATTTATGTAGTGTAACATAGTCAACAATCCACATTAGCTACTACTTGTTTTATTGCATAAGCTTGTTATATTTTCAGCTATCAACTTCATTCTTAAGGCTTGCATGTAGAACTTTCAATTATAGAACTATTACTCTATGGTGCACATTAATCTAACTGTAGATAAGCACAAAGCTCTTCTTTGCACCTATTACAATGAAGATGTTTTGTAAGCAAGCATCAATGCTTGGAACAAAAAGACATTGTTTGACAATGCTTAGTTCTTGCTTATTACTCGTTTCTCAAACTTAGTTGAGTTTTGTAGTAGCATTGCAACTTTCTTCTATAGCATGGATAACATAGAGATTGACTTCTCTATCTTGAGGTGGGAAAAATATGATTATTGCAAGAGTTTGTCAAACTTTGGACTTTGACTTGAAGGCATGTTGTAGGCAAAGCAATACATCCAAATTGAGGCACTTATTCATTATGAGTGATCTGCATTGCCTTGAATAAACAAATTCAATAATGCTTGTTTATTGGCATTGAACCTTGCTTAAATTTGCCTACTGCCTATATTCACTTTCGAGAGGTGCCTAAATCAAGCTATTTTAGATAATTTAATCAGGCGCTATTATAATCAGACCTGATTATACTTCATGATTTATATTGTGTAAGCATGGCAAGTAAATAAGCTTGGGAATTGTTTACAAAGTGTTGTAAAACAGACATTATTTTGTGTGTTAATGAACCTGCAAATTACAGGTCTCTATTGAAACTCATAATTCTTTAACCTGTCACAACTGAAAAAACAAAAAACGAAAATAAAAATAAAAATAAATAAGAAGTCAAAGGACTGAACATACTTTTTGATAAAATTGGTGTACTAGAATCATTTTTAACACATTATAATAGACAAAATAGTATACAATTGACCAAACACTTAAAACACTGTCTAAAAACGTATTGATATTAACCACTACTAAATCTAGGATAATAGTAGACATGATAAGTAAAACAGTTGAAAGATCAATATTTCAAGAGGGGCTTCAAAAACAGATACTCTATTGAAAATATTTTCAACAGATACTCTGTTGAAAATTGATAGAAAATTTATGAAGTTGTTAAAATATTCATAATAAAAATAAAAATAAAAAATCTTTGAAGATTAAAAATATTTTTTTTGCAACGACTAACATCAAATAATTGATATTAAATTTCAATCCATTAATTAATGAAACCTTCAATTTTACCAATTACAATTTAGTGCTGATATTTTTAAAATACATGTATACTACTTCAACAACGAGTTTTGGATGGAAGTAATGGTAAATAAAATATTTAAACACTATTGATACTACAAAAAAAATATTTAACAGTAACACTTGAAAACTTTGTAGTAATATAAAAGTTTATTACGAATGTATAAGTTTTAGACCATTGGATTTGATAAAGAATAAGCTTAATATACATGGTACTTAAGTATTATTAATACATATTTTTGAATTTCAATTTTTCAAAAATATGTATTAATAATTGCATCCTAAGATATTAATTTAAAATTGCAATTGGTAAAATTGATTAGATTAATTCTAGTAATCAGTAATGTTATGTTATACACAATACAACTTTAAAATCTTTGATATCACAGTAAGGAGCATTACAATGGCCAAATTAAATAAAGTATTGCCAAAAGAGAAAGTTTGAAATATTTTGTAGAGATTAATTACAAAAAAATACATATTTAGAGAGTGCGAAGAGAACCATGTCATTTCAAATAAATAAAAAGAAACATAAACCTATGGTATTTTTTGATAAACTATTAATATTTATTGAGGTAAAAAAAATCAAAACTTATGATAACAAAGAAAAAAAAATAATTTTTTTCTTTTTTCTTCAAGATTAAACTTCTAAATTTAACTTTAAAATTTTAGATATAAAATCAAGATTAAAATTTTAAACAGGTTTTTATTTATGAAAAAATAAATATATATATATATATATATATATATATATTTATAATATATTATTGCCAATACAAGAAGTGTATAAAAATATCCATTCAATATATTTATTAGAAATATTTTCTATTTAAATTTTTGTAGTAGTAGCAATCATAAGAAGATGCCTATTGATTGTTTTAGGGATTTCACAACAATGTAATAAGTATTGATGTCTTTGCTTTTAGGAAGGTTTTGTCTATATACAATATACAAACATTGGTAATAATTTTTTTAATTAAGGCTAGAGTAAATCAAATAATATTATATTATTTTCATACTATCATTTATAGACAACGTGATACCAACCTATATTATTCTTCAAAACAACAATACAAACTAAGAACTTCTATTAAGTATTAAAAAAAATTATATTTTATAATATTAATAAATGTTATAAATAAATAAAAATTATTTGTCTTTTTATTTTTGTTAACTTTAATATAAGATACAGAATCTGCCATTTTGGTGGGACAATCTACCAAAATAAAAATAGAGTTAAAAAATTTAAGATTAGACGATTTCTAAAAAATAAAAAATAAAAAATATAATTATGGTTGTTTTTTTATCATAACTATATTGAAACAACTTTTTTTATTTGAGACTAAAAAAAAACTCTTAAATTAGATTGTCAAAAAATTGTAATTAAAAAATCTTTTCTAGTTAGATGTCACAATGTACTTGATAGATATATAATTGTACTTAATCTTTTGGAATATATGAATATTTTTTATTACAAAAAAATCATTTTAAAAATATCATTTACTAAAATAAATTTGAAGGTTATTTTGAATACTTAGAATAAGATGGTATATTAAGGTATCTAAACTAATTATACTAAAAGAAATGAATTTAAATTAAAATCTTTGACTTTAGAGCTTAAAGATGCAAAAGCTCTAATTTCAAAATATTTTTTTATTGTTGATTATGTATAATATTATTTCTTTTTTTATATATAAGAAAGTAAACATCTTGAAAATCCATCTAACAAGAATTTATTTTCTAAATAATATGAAATTTCAAATACAAATTGTAACACAAGAACATGTCTTAATAGGCTTGGCAACAAATATGACTTCTTTTTTTAAAATAAAACTATATAAGCATGTAATTTCTATATTGTAACTATTATAATTAATCATAGTTGATGAAAATTTTAATAAATAAAAAGTATTAGTGTATAGTCTATTATTTACATCTAATTTTGATAAAACTACATCTAATTAAAGATTTGATGCAAATGTGTCTTTATAAATAATTGCTTTGAAAAACTCAAACAGCATGAATTGTGAATTGTGAATTGTGAATTATGATAAAAGAAAATTTTAAACATTGAAATTTTTTTTTAATAATTATTTTAATCTAATTTGTCTTTGCAAGTTAATTGAATTAGTCGATTAGTAGTTTTAAAGAATTTTTTGTTGATATTTATTAATAATTAATTTTATTTATTAATTGTTAAATATCTTATGTAAGATTTGTATTACAATATAAATATATTATTTATCTTTTTCTATAATCTTATGATACATTAGAATATTATTTAAGAATATTCAAAAAAAAAACACAAAATATATCATTTTTTAAATATCATAAAGTAAGCGGAACATTTGTAAATCCAAAAGACATAATATCATATTTAAGATGGTTACACCTAGCTCAAGATACAAATTTTACTTTATTCTCTGATTTAATATATATTAAATTATAGGTTCTTTTTTAATTTACTTGAAATTACTTTTATTTAGTAGTTTTAGATAGCCTTAATATTAAATTTAACAAATTGATCATCAATTTGTTGAAGTTTGGATTATCTTTATATATTTGCGAGGATCTGGTTTTATTCTTTATAAGAAAGGTTAGTGCACTTGCAAGAGATTTTGCATGTCAAATAAAATCCATTGTAAGATTTTTATAAACATAATTTTTTGAAGTTGGTTTGTTCTACCAAAAGTTGTAAATCAATCAAATGGTGATTGAATGCATTCTTAAACATCAATGGTGCAAATATAAAATCAATGTTCTAGCACTATATTCACAATTTCAATCTGAAACATAAATAGCTTGCACAATTGTAACTTAAACCATTTAAAAGAGGATAGTATTAAAAACCAAAAACATTACAAAAATGAAGTAACTATATTAGTAAGAGGAACATCATCATTGTAGCTCCACCACACCTCCAATGAATCTACACAAACATCATTCTCACACTCAAAAATTAGTATACTTTATTGTAGTTGTTGCTACCAATGGTATCAACATTTAACTACTAACACTCTACTTGGGGTTAAAGATCAATGTTCTAGACACTCACTGAATATCCAAATTCTTAAATCAAAATTTGTAATTTTGTTTTACATCTTTTAATTGAGTTGATTTGGGATCCAATTACAACTATTTTGACAATAAACAGATCTTAAAGAATTAAACAATTTATAAGATATTGTCAATACCAACAAAAAGGACATATGATGTTGAAAGAAATTTTCTTAGCTAAAACAAGAAATTCCAATGAGAAAAATTGTTAATTAGAAGAAGAATGACACATATTACAAAAATAAAGGGCTTGAAAAGAAACTTATAGAATATGAAATCAACCTTTTTCCAAACTTGCAATAGACTAGCAGGATTGTTTCTAGTGACTAGGCTAAAGCCTTCTGGTTAAGATGATCTTTGAAAAGATATAAACTAGTTAACCTTGCTGAGTAATGTCTCTATTTAGATATGACCAATGTTCAGAAAAACCCCAATTGTAAATCCAAGCCTAGCACTCACATATCACATCGACAGTAAATCAATATGTAGAGATCTTCCAAAATTCTTTCCTAATTTGTAACTACCCATGCAAGAGGACATTGGAAAACTCAGTTTTTTTATCAACAATAATTACACTAAAAATATCTTGCGTGTGGACTTCAAATTCAGAATTGAATAACCCTTGCAACAACCAAATATATGAAACATAGCCGGAAAAATGTAGCAATGACTTCCTTCATTTAGCTTTGTTTGAAGAGATGATATTCTGCGGCATCACATGCCTTTTCTTCCAGCAGGAGATAAATATATATTCTTCACTAAGCCTTCACCTAGAGCAGCAACATCCTTTAAAAATGTATCCAAATCGAGAATAGGTGTATCGTTTTCAATTCGCTTACGTTTGGCACTCTTTACCTGCACAATACGAAGGTGATCTCTCAGATTACACCAGCCACGTAAATGAATGCATGTAATAATGGTGTTGGTACTAGCCGAAACGAAGCGCACATGGAATCTAAAGAGTGCCAAAAAAGATCACTCAAGTCCACTGCACAGGAGGTGAGGTTGCACCTGTTTGCTAAAGGCCGAGTTGGATAACGTTAAGCCAATTAAGCTACTCCCCACCGGATCATACCATACAGTACAGGCATCACCATACTTGACCTGTAAACCATCGGAAGGCAAAAAACTCAGGAAAACTCCACAACTCCGCCCTCGCAGCATGCATAACGACGGATACTAGATGAGGTGCTCAAATCACCCTTCGCAATTACAGTGGAGATCCTATTCCCAAAGCCTAATGTTGCTGATGGTGTTGGTTGGGGGTGAAGTTGTGTCTAGAAACACTAATTAGTATCTTTCTAATGAACACTGGAAGGTGACTAAATAGAATATATAGATGGCATTCCTTGTGTGGAGCATAACAAAGAAGCAAGTCTCATCCAATGGAGAAGGTTACGACCACATCAATATATACGAGTGCTAAAGCGTCAAACTTACCTGAAGATCCTGAACAAACTCCTCCACAGGATTAAGTCCAATGATTAAATGGTCCCTTGCAGCCTTGATACCCATATTCAGAATGGCGGGTGGCAACAATGGTGAAATTGACTTTGGAGCTGCCTTGCTCAGAATGCTTTCACCTAATCCTTCAGGTGGAAAGAGTACTCGGTTTGGGTGAGGTAGACAATCAAGATGGAGCTCAACAAGAGCATCATAGCTTGAAGTTGGTGTTCTGAAGATCGACTGCAGAGGATGGCAAACGGGACATTATTAAAATCATTTACTACAAACTTCAAGAACCGTGGTACTGAGTCAGTTCCACATAAATCACCACCTAACTTCAGGGAGATTAATTTCTATACTAGAAGCTCATTTAACTTCGGTGAAAATCACCCAATTATCTAAAAATCCAAAAGGGAAACTAAGATTATTGACTACTCAGATCAAGGACCACTTCAAACTCCATACAAAAAACATAGATGTGGATATTGGCTTTGGAGGATTAATACAATGAGTCGAGAAATGCTGGGCAAGTCCTACCAGCCATTTTCTGTCGTCCTCCCTGCCCTTAATGAGTTCTGTGAGCAAATTTGCTGAGCTTCTGGCATAGGCAATAAGCCGCTTTAGCACCTGCAATATTAATAGACAACTCAATAATCAATACAGGTAGCCACATAAACAAAATTCCAAGTGCCAAATATAAGAACCAGAACAGAAACCATAAGATATGACACCGTTAGATGTTACCTGCTGAGATGGAGAATCATGTGTCCACGTCTTGCAGCCAAAGTCGTAAGACGTTGCAATGTACATGGAAGGACCTCGTATATCATCTGGACCAGCTCCATTAATTTGTGGTCCATGCCTTACTGCATCAAATTTAGCCTGTTGCATGATAACCATTTGTACTAAACTTAGACGAACACAATCCTTAAAGAAACTCAAAAACGGATACAAAGGTTACATCAAGACACTTCAAAAGTTGATTTTTCATGATTTAGCATCATGTGCATGCAAGTCACTAATACAAAATAAAGAAAGCATTCAGGTTGCCTTTTCTTAAAAGCTCAAGTGGATTATTCTGCAAGATTGACTTACAGTAATTTTACTGTAGTCGTTCGGAGTAAGATCACCATTTACATCCACTACAAGAGGCTCAAGGGCCCATTCATGGTTGACAAGCAGCTGAAGAAACCTGCGCGATAGAGTGGTGATGTGTTAAATCGTCAAACATCATTCTTTCGATCTATGTGAAACCGAACGGAAACTCATAAATGTTGTGACTCACTCACGACATTTTACAAAGACAGACAGAAAACGCATTACAACTATTGATCGGAATAGATTGACTCCACATTAGTTAACTTCCACCGTTCAGACAATCCAAACACCATTATCCTTCAGAGTTAGACCTGAACATAATTAAACATTTAAAGAAAATCAAAAACTTTGGGAGAAAAAATTACATACCTTAAAAACCCGGTGACCCGAGATGCAGGAGGGAGATACGGAGAGGGACGAACAAACACATAAGCCACCAGTAGTTCAATGACTTCCTCAGACAAAGCGCCTGAAAAGAAGTGCGACCATGTCCATCGCTTGGCAAGCCGAACAGTCGGTCCAAATGCCGGATACACACCATGCAAGCCTTGTATTAAACTTGCGTGTGAACTTTGAAGCAACAAGTCATGAGCGGGAGAAACTGTACCCAGCTGCTCATCATCCTTGGAAGTCATGGCTCTAGTGGGATCTTTGTCATACATGAGTAAAAGCCTAAAGACGTAACCTTCCACTATGATATCGATGGCATCTTCGGCGGCAACACATCCAACATTCCATTTCTTCTGCAAACTGTAAAACGACATTGAAAATCTTTCATTAGAGCTCTTGACTATTTGAATCTGAAATCTGAAGGTAACACGAGAACTGTGAAAAATAAGATCTGCCAAGTGATATTTTCACCTTTGAGCGATCTGTAGGCAAAAAGCAGCCTTGGTTTTCCGTATAGCGACTGGAGCTTCAGGCCAATTCCCAGACCCCTCCAGCTTCAACCACCAAGTTAACCAACATATATGTCAGAAAAAAAAAAATCTTAGACTAACTTTGACAACCAAGGAAACTCAGCCAACGTGACAACATTTGGTTCGACTCTTGCACCGAATACTAAAAGAGAGTGTCTTTGAAGTTTGAACCTTCTATGAATAAAATGACGCGTAAGAATATACTACAGCAAAAAGATGTACCCCTACAAAGCAATAAATGTATCATTACCTGCAACATAATTTTAAGAGGATCCATATATACAGGAGCTGCATTAGGAATCTTCTGAGAACTTGCATCTTGAGCCAATGGATGCGGCTGAGGAGGAAACACATCTGCATGACTGAATGCTGCGACCCCATAGCAGTAAGCATTAGAAACTCAGATGTTAGATACATGAAGCTTCAGTAAACAAAAAGTGTATAATTCAACACGGCACTAAACCACTGAGGACATACTGAATGAGGCATGAACATAAACATGAAAGAATACAATAAATTATTACCAGGACTAATAGGTTGCACACTGACAACTTTAAGGGGTAGATCCTCAATGTCCCTCAACCTTTTCGAAAGAGTCCCCAAGACCTCCATGAGTTTGGAAAATCCTGACGTCGGATCTGTGCACCCAAACGACGATTATTTAGCTTCACGAATTAACAGAGGAAAGTTGTAGCAAAGGAGACGACTGAAGTCCTTACAGAATAGCGAGAATGAAACGATGCTATTAAAGAAGTCTATTCTGCTAATTTCAGACAGTGATGATGAACGTGAAAATACCTATCCCTTTCTCAAGGAGAGCAAAATCAAGCTGTCCAGCAACAACATGAAGGGACTTTGAAGGTAATGATAAATGTCGATGAAGAACATGCTCAATAATACGTTGAATGATCAAGTGTCTCTGCCAACCCTCACACTCCCACACTGCTCTACCATTTCAGTTAAAACACTATATACAAAACATGAACTCACATACTCTTAAGTAACATCACTCCCCATTTTTCGATTCAAAGTTAATCACGATGAAAAAGTCAAATATTTCATAGCTTCTCAATTCTATGAGAGTCGGATGTCAAGCTCAGTCAACGTTTTTGCAAATAGAAAATGAACTGCTTAATACCATACCTGCAGTTTCTGTGATTTTTCCGTCTTTAAACCTTCGAAGTTCTGCCCTTTCGCCCCAAAATGCTCGAAACTTTTTGGCCTGGGAAATTGACACGCAGCCAAGCAGAACATAAAATGCGAGGATCACAAAAACAGAAAAAACTAAAAAAAAATACATCTGACAAGATACGAAGGGAGGTGAAAAAGATGTCCAAGACTAATCAGCTGAAATATCAGGCCAGAAGACAGATTGTGCCAATGAGTTGATTCTGCTAGAAGATTGACAACCATTAGTCATCGCTACTCTAAGTTATAGCAGCTTCTCAGAATAAAGCATGTACCAACATAATGACATAATATTCCTCTTGAGTAACAACACTGGGTTTTCGTCACAATTTCACGGTATCAAGTACATTCAAATCCAAGAGAATGGCAGCCTCACCTCTTCTTTATTATCAGCACTTGGCCCAACGTCAGCCATTCGCAGAGCAGTATCCAAGTTAACTAAAGAAATGCCTACCCACACGTCATCCCTCCCAACTTTCGATAGACCTTCCTTGGGCACCCATTCTGAGCTACAGCTCCGTCTGACGACTCGAACTAGCTGTGCTCGATCACCGAGCCCCCTAATCAGAAGAGATTCGAGTTGCTGTTCATATAGCCTGTAACTGTCTTCATCTGAACACCGTGTAGAAGTTGATACCGCAGAACTAGGTTCATCCTCTTTTTGACTTAGTCTGCAGTGGGAAACACAATATTACAATATGACACATAGTCTCACAGTGTATTACAGACGCCTAAAAAAAATAAAAATAAGATAAAATAAAATAAAAAACATGATTTATCTGAAATAAAGACCATGAATAGTGCACTAACACGTGAGCTTGAGTTGCATTTCCAACAAGAGGAGAGTGGAAGGCAGCTGTAAAAGTTGCATTCAGCAACGACGTCTCCTAACTAAATTGCTTCCACTTCGTCGCTTTTACCAGATATCAGAATATCCCCTAGGAAACCTGCTACGCAATGCAGTTCTTCACCCACAATTTTACTAAAATACTCAGGACACAAACAAACCTGACATGGTAATCAAACTTCGCAGAAAAATCTATCTTGGTCATGAACAAAGCGTTAAAGCCTTCGTCCTTGGTGTTCTTCATCGCTGCTAAGGTACGCAAAGCTTCGCCTTTCAACTGAGACAAAAGCATGTTCAAAAAGCATGAATAATAAAATGCCAGTTTAGACAACAAGGTAGTAACATCATCATACTTGAGCAAGAAAACTGTACAAAACAATAATCATAAATCCCAAAATCTAACACAGTGCATGACTGAAGTGAGATGGATCCTTAACACTCATCCACTTTTGCGGCTCAGTCCGTAATCGGATTAACATTATCATGCGTTGAACATTACCCTCAAATTTTAAAAAAAGTTATGAGGTATTAGCAAACAAAGTGTAGAGAGACATACCTCTGCTAATGCACTAGCAGACATTCGAGATGCAAAATTGACCCACACCAGTGAACCAGATATCACAACTTTGAATGCTTGAAGAAGATCCTTTTTCATCTACAAGCGTCCGATTCCTCCATTGATGAGTGACAATGTAAAACTCATCGAACACGGCAATAATTATACAACTAGCACAAACGACTTACGTGTACAACTAAGTGCTGAACCGAAAGAAGTCTAATATACAACGAGCTAAAAAGAGATCAGCCCCATAGAAGTAACCGTCTTGAAGTTCCAATACAATACCCATCTTATCACATGCTTTGAAAAGTTGCAATAGTGAGTTTACATACCTCTGCCCCAACACTCCCCGACCCAGCGGCCTGCATGAAAATACCCTTCTCTAACACATTTCCATTTGCAATGGATTCCATAGTAAGACGAAAAATTTGAAGAGCAGTCAAATGCTCATTGATACGTTTTCCTCCCGCTGGAGAAGCAAGGTAAGCAACGAGTATCGTGATAAGAGAGCCATTCAAAGAATCCACCGCATCATAAATGCCTCGCTGCCTGCACCACACCTGCGAAAATATGAAGATTCAGCAACGTAGCTAAATGCCCCAAACAAATGAAAATCCTAGCAATGTCCGGAATTGACTAGGTGAAACAACTCAAAATCCAACCCTATACAGATACAAGTTGACTGGTTAGATCTAAATGATGAACATATCCCCTAAGAGCCATGTAATGGTAGCAATACAAAATAAATTGTCTTAAAATATGACTCAGCTATCTGGTAATCCCTTTGCAGAAAGCCTCAACCGGATTCCCGTCAACAATCTCTCCACAGTTCAAGTATTTCAATTGATTTCAGGCTTTATTCATTACGTCAGACTAGCGAGTACCTTGAGCAGCAACACGGCATCTCTCGTCGATTCATGGCCTGTAAAGGACTCTTTCAGAACTGCGGCAGTGGATTCTACTGCCATATCTTCAAGTATACTGCTATTGTAATGAGGCGTAGGTTGAATCACTCCATCTAGAGAAGCAATAAACACCTCTGTCAATACAACTAAGCCCTCAATGGACATCACAAGTCTAGGCACGGTAACAAATGCTTAAACAGTCAAGCCCTCTACATAACTACTATGCGCTTCGCAACACAAACAACACGAGATAACCAAAACGTTCAATTAAGTGTGCCTTAACTTCATCTAGCATCTTCTAATATTCTGATATTTAATCCAAAACAATCGAAATATATTTATCAGTGAAATGACATAGAGACGTGAGGAATTATTAAGATTTAACTCAGTAGATTTAAGACTGGTAAGGAACAAGCCTCGACTGCCCAATAGTTGAAGAGTGCACAACCTAACCTCTAGCAAAACTGTCCAGACGAGCTTAAACAATTATTTCTCAATCGATGGTTACGAAGAGTAGCCAACACAGATCGATCACAAGTGAGACCCATAAATTGAACACATTTAGTCCTCTAAGAAGTCCTCATTTACAAAATTAGCTTGAGGATGAAGACAAAGCTATCATGTAAATTATCTGATCTCTCCATGACTAAACATTATGCTGCGTAGTAGTCACTGAACATCAAACCACTTGCATGTGCCGCAAAAGCGCTAAGAATGATGAACTATGAACACTCAATTTTGCCACCTACCGACGCAGGAAAATCGTTGACAAACTTGGCTAATACAAACTTGGTTTGGAGGCGGACATTGAACCTCCAGACAGAGGCTACCAGCATGAGAAGTAGAAGCTAAACTCACGCATACAATGGCTACATGACAGCTACTAGCACTGATAAACTTAAGCACATATACTTGGACTCGAATACTAAATCATGTTATTAAAATACGATTCTACTTAAACTCAGCTTAAAAGCTTCAAATATTTTAATAAGAAACAAAGACCGTAAATTCAGTAAGAGTGTAACCTTTAGAAATGAAACTCCGCAAATTATTCTTCGAGGGTGCAAGCTTGTTCACACTGAAAGTTTCGGAACTTATGGTAGGTATAATACGTATGACGAACTTGGTGGTTGCGCCCTTCGCATCAGGAGCAGGAAACAAAAGCAGCACTGGCTTCCGCGCATCGTCGCAAATTAGACTCCATTTTGTAGAGCTAATACAATCACACTTGGTGATGGCTTTCTTCAAAACAGCTAAGTACAGGGCTCGCTTGACATGATAACGGTGATTCAAAAAGTCTTTCTCAAGGAAGCAACACTGCCAAGAAAAAATCAAATTTCAAAAAAATATTAATTGTGTAATCTACTCGTAGAAATTATATTTAACCACAGATAGACAAAAACCACAGAATCCAACGTCGCGAGCTTACATACTAACGGTTTAAGGTTTAAAGCTTAGGTGGTTAAGACCACTCGACACAATATAAGAGATTCATTTGAGGGCTCGAGTCACAAATACAAGTTACTTCGAGTTACTATCATCGGAGAGTGATTAGGGTAAAGCTAAATTAGCGTAGAGACCATATCTAATCACAAGCCCAGAAAAAAATCGCCTTACCTTAGGCAATCTGACGGCGAGATCAACTGTCTGAAAAGGTTTTGCAACAGTCTGTACAGCATAACTTCCCACAATCTCCACTCCATCGGGTTTCTGGAACTTGAGCTGAGCTTTGTCCTCCGGCACTCCGAGATCTTTTGCAAATGCGGAGACCAGAGAGGCAGAAACCTGCAACCATGAGACGCGAGAGGGGAATTTCGATACGGTCGAATTGGATACCACAACTTTTGAAGACCTTCACCAGAACTACAATTCAAAGATTAAAACCAACCTGACGAAAAATGACAAACAGCGAAACTCTTTGGATAACTCCATTTCTGTGAAAAATCCATAAGAATGCGAACTAACCTTCTTTTCCGGAAGGCTGAGAAGCCTTTCCTTCACAGCAGCTACAGCCGAATCGACAATGCGACACCGGGTGTAATCTACGCGCACTTCTTTCAGAAGCTCTTGGACCTTAATTTGTGCAAGCGGCGAGTCAGCCATGGTGCTACTCCTTTCAAAACCGCGACGAAACTATTCACATTCTTCCTGCTTCAAGCAATGAGAGCTGCCATTCTGTGATTCTAACGCAACAATCACAAAGCCTACACACCCTCTCCGTCAAATTGACGACCTCCGCTAAACCCCTAAACCCTAAAACCCGTGCTCAACTTCTGTGCCCTAAACGTTCGGTAGTCGAACGGAAAAAGGTGTCCCCACCCCAAAAACGTAAAAGCTTTTCAAAAGTATAGAAGCTTTATTATTTCAAAAGTATAGAAGTACCACGCATTTTGTGAATAATAGGGTATCCTAGAATGCCCCAAAATGATAATCATACACAACCAAAGTATGATGAATGTAACAGTTTTGGCAAATGATGGGAGAAAATGGTTGGAGTGTGTATTTTGAACGACATTTTATCATCAATCTCATTAAAAACACAATGAGCCAACACATGGTTTAATTGGTAAAAATAAAGCAAATGAATAGTAGTTGATCAAATGAAGTGTTTGTTGTTTAAAGAAAAAGAATAAAATAGCAAAAGCATTAAAAATATATATATTGACTATTAGATTGATATTAAATATGTCGTCATTTATGATGAAAAAATTCAATCAATTCAGATGTTCTTAGCTCCATCTGAACGCATTTATGCAAATTTTCATGTTGTGAATGAATTCAAATATAACTCTTGTTTAAAGCAATAAAAACATGTAACAACAAACAAACAAATCAAATAATATAAAATGAAATCACAAACAAGAACATTGATTATCATGAAATATAATTTTTTATATTGACACAAAAGAAAAAGAAAAATAATAAAAATAAAAGATGACAGCTAATTTGAAAATTGGAACAATACAATCATTCAGAAGTTGAAATAAAAATGTAACTTATTATGAACAGCTTTTAAATTTGAATAAAAAAATAAAATTAAAATTAAAATTAAAAACTTAAAAAATACTACTCTAAGACAACAATGTATGTGGAGCAATTGGCAAGATTTTGTTTTATATAGAGGTGAACTAAATGCATGAATATATATATATATATATATATATATAAAAACTTAAAAAAAAAAACAGCAATCAATCATTGGTATCAATCCAAAAATATTATTAAATCAAATTACAAAAATATTCAATATCAAACTTATGTCCAATATTATATTCTTAATCATTTTTGTATATAAAAAATATTTAATTCATTAGGTAATTTTAATATAAGATAAAGAAATAAATAAGCCTTCTTATTTGTCAAATATAGATGAATATAGATGAATAAAAGAATGGATGAATGTTAGCACTAGAAATTGCAGTGTTCAACAACACAAGGTTCTATTAGTATCAAATAATGTAATAAGAATCCATTTTTTGGATTTTTTTGTATAATTCTTTTTATTTTGAAACAATTAAAGTAAAAAATAAGCAAGACAATATTACTATATCAAGGACATGAATTACAAACAATCAAAATATCAATACATTCTTATATCACTCAAAAAAAGTAGATATTCAATCAAATATTTACAGTATAGAAATTAGAATGACTATTGCAAAAGACAAGAAGACTAGAAACTCTTTAAATAAGAATAAGAATAAGAAAGGCATTGACAAGTGTAAAGATGAAGGCTTCACTCTTCCGTTTATGTATACTATCTAAGTAGAAGTTACGTAAAAACATTCTATATGTCTTTTGATACATTATTATAGATATACATGTTAATCAAATAATTATTTAAATAATATAAGCATATAGAAGTAGATAAATGTAGATAAACTTGTCAATATCTTTTAGAGAAGCTTCTTACAAGCTTTGAAGTTGCTTTTTTCTTCATATGTGTCTCTAAAAGACTAATAGGTTTAAAACTTGGCCAACAAGTTAGTCACATGTTGCACATGTTGGTAGCTTGTGGTACAAGTTGGACATATAATGCACATATAGAAAGTTTTTTTTACAAATTACATATGTGTCTTGTAAGTTAGACTTATGTCAAAGGTCATGTAAAACATCACCATATATCTTGTAGTTAAATAATATCTATAGAAGTAAGAATGAAGCCATCTTCATTCTTGTCAATTTCTTTCTTATTTTTAGTCTATTTTCAAGAGTCTATAGATTTAAATTGGCTATTTATTTCTTTTTTGTCATCTTATTTTAAGAAATAATTCTCTTATTTTTTTATTTTTTTGAATTTTTGTCTCCAATAAATTGACAAGAATATATTAATAATATTAGATTTTTTTTAATTGAGAATAGATTATTCCTTGATTTTATAAGATATAAGCATATTATAAGTTTTAGATTATCTACTTCTAAAATAATATTATTTCAAATAATTATTTTTATTTTCAAGTCTTATCTTTTTTTAATCTTGCATGATATTAAATATTATATTTTTTTTATTATGTTTATTATTACAAATATTATTAAAATAAAGAGTTCAAAAATAAAAATACAAGAGAAAATTAAGAAGTTAATGCTTGTAATGCATCAATTCAATTTATTATTACAAAGAGCAATAATATTGGTAAGAAGTAAAGATATAGCAAAGATTAGAGCTCCTTTAACATCTACATCAAATTATATTACTATCGAAGATAAGAATTCAATGAATGTAAATAAATAAGTGAAACATATCATAAAAATATATATATATATATATATATATATATATATATATATATATATATAATGAAATTAAAATAGCTATTGCCAAAAGACAAGAAAATTAAAGGCTCTTAAAACTAAACTAGAAGCAAGACAAGAATTGACTAGAGTGAAGAAAGCTTTGTTCTTGCTTCTATATATACTATCTAATTAGGAGATATATGTTAACATTCTATAGGACATTCAATATGTGTCCAACTCATAAAACATATACTTAACTTATAAGACAAGTTTCTTATATGTATGCCAAATATCCAACTTATACTACAAGCCACCAATATGTGCAAAATGTGGCCAACTTGTTAGTCAAGTTTTCAACCTACCAATCACTTATAAACACCTATAAAGACAAAAGTCACATCTATGAAACTTTTCTATAAAACATTATTAAATTTATTTATATTTATATATTTCTACTTATTTATATTATTTAAATGATTAATAGAGTAAATATGGATGACCATCATATTATTTCTTCTTTTTAATGACAAATTCTATAAAGAGCAATGATCACATGTTAAAAAAGTCTAAGATGTATAGAACTATATTTGCTATATACTTGGATCTTTATTTTTTTTAAAGAAAATTGATAAGATCTCTTAGTTATTAATAATATTTTATATTAGAATATAAAAACCATCTTGATATTTAATCATTATTGAGACCTACATAACTTCTTTCAAATAAATATTTGGAACACCATTATAAGTAGTTTCTATTTTTAATAAGATTATCAAACATTGAAAGTTTCTTCTAAAATTGTGATATCAAAATCATTGAATCTTGCTATTTATTTGAAAAATAAGTATTGTTCTTAAAGATTTTTATCTTTATTATATTATTTTGCAAGGTTGTGATAATTATAATCTTCATTAAACCTCATTTTCTTTATAACAAGGAATTATTTGGCTTTTCATCTTGGTTTTGATGGATGACATTAATGAAAAGAATTAACCTCTTTCTTATATTTACAAGATTATTAATTGGTTTTTTTGTATATTCCTTAATATCATATCTATATTAATGAATAATATATTCCAACCTAAGCCAACATTTTCTTAAATCTAAAACTTCTTGAATTTTAAACTTTTGATTATTATCCACTTTTATATGCCAAAATAACATTTATCTTCTTTTCAAGGTATCCAATAAACTTATATGGCTCAAAAAGTGACATATAGAATATAAAATACATCTTCATAGACTTTGATAGGTATAATTAATAAGTAACTACATTGATTTATTTAAAAATAAGAAATGGTCAAAGTCTCTAGTAATCCAATTTGTTATAAGAGCAATTAGTTCTAATATTATAATAAAATAATTATACCTTATCACCAACATGGAATAAAGATTGTTTCTTATTATAGACATCCACATTAATTTTATGTTGTTCTTGAGCTTCTTTTACTTGTGCTTTTATTATTACATATAGGTGTAATAGATAATTTGTTAGTTTTTTTATTGTAGGATTATTAATTTTTGAGAAAATAAAAATATTAAATTATAAATAATAAATTATCAAGAAGACGATTAGAAAACCCTCTTGTCATTGGTAGAGTTTGCTTATAATAATACAATGCATTCTTCTACACAATAAATATATATATATATATTTTTTATCAATTATGGTTACCATCCACGATTTGATGCTTTTGACTTTTCAAAAGTTGATAATCATATGGCAGAAGGTTTGGCAAATTGTTTGTTAGAGCTATATACAACAATGAAGGTGCAATTAAAGGAAGCTCAAGAATGACAAAAAATCAACGTAGATGTCTATCAAAAGGAACAACCACAATTCAATGTAGGTGACAAGGTATGGTTGTTTCATCATAATATTAAGACTACTCGTCCTTGTGATAAGTTAGATTAGTGAAGGCTTAAACCTTTTCTTCTTTGTGGACAAATCAATCCAATTGCTTATTGATTACATCTATTGGAGGAAATGAAGATCCATCTTATCTTTTACGTATCTCTTCTTAAACCATACAAGACTATGAACATATCAAGAAGAAAACAAGCTCCACTTTTTCTTATAGAAGTCGATGATAATGAAGAGTTTGAATTAGAAGAAATTTTAGACTCAAGGTGGTACCAAATAAATTAGAATATCTTTTTCATTGGCGCGGATATGATATTAGTAAACTCACATGGGAGTTAATAAAGAATCTTGCAAATAAAACAAAGGCAATGGAGGCTTTTCATCAACAACATCCATTTAAATCAAGAGGAAGAATAATAAGTCTTTGCTTTAAAAGAAAGAAGGTCCAGAAAAGATTACATTCTATCTTGTATATTTTTTTGTAGCTTTTATATATTTGTAACGTTAAAAAGATGAAAAATCAACAAGCAATAAATTTAATTGAAGAACTTTCATTTGCAGACTTATCAGATGAGACATTGCGATTGTGACAACTTTTAAGATGACAAATTTGAAATGAAGATCCTCAAGGACAACATGTCTTTTCTTAAATAGATGACAAAATACAATGTGTCTGATATCACGACCTTGAAAGAGACTTCCAATGTTTGGTGTTTTATTAGAAGTAGAAACAATTCCTGATGATGTTTCAAATATTTTATTTGAAGGAAGTTACAAAGGCCTCAACAATGACTAAATAAGAGAGTGGTCTTCTTACACTGATATGGGACACTATCGATGGCTGAGAAGGTCTATCAACTATCTTCAAAGAAAATAAAGATCGAAAGATGTAGCAGATACAATTCACCATATCTTAAATTTCTTCAACATATGAAGACCGCTCTTCATGGAACTCGTCTCTAGAAGAGAGGGCAATGTCATGGACATATACATGTAAAGCAATAATTACCTATATGATTTAGATAATAATAGATAAAAGTAGGCTAATTCCATAATATCTTCTATAAAAACTTTCTAAAAGCTCTATAGATATTGCTTTGACTTTATAGGTATTTTTAATTGACTTTTTAGATTAGAAACGTGGTCGACAAGTTGGCCATGTGCCACACATGTTAGTAGCTTAAAGAACAAGCTAATTATATGACCCACATGTAGAAAACTTGCCTTATAAGCTAAGGCATGTGTCTTGTAAAGCCAACACATATTAGAAGTCCTTAGAACATCACCATGTAGCTCCTAGTTAGATAGTATATATAGAGACAAGAGTGAAGCTCTCTTCACTCTTATCAATTCTTTTCTTGCTTTTAGTCTAGATTAAGAGTTTTTAATTTTTTAGTTTTTTTTTTTTTTTTTTTTTTTTTTTTTTTTTTTTTGGAAATAGCCATTCTAATTTCTTTTTAATATATATACGACTTTATTGCTATTTTATCACTTTTCTTTTGACACAAATTTTTCAAGTTTATGCATCTTCTTCCAAATTATGTCCTTGACACATAAAAGTTATTTTTAAAGCTTCAAATGATGCTTTTGTTACTTTAATCCACTCAAGTTTGTCATTACAAGTCAAATATGTAAGTGGAGCTATAACTTAAGAAAAATTTGTGATGAAGATTTAATAGTAATTGACAAATCTCAAAAAATATTAAATAACTTTTATTATTTTTAGAATCTTTTAATTTATGATAGATTGAATATTTTTAAAATCCATCATAAGATTACCATTTATAATGATATATCTTAAGAAGTCAACTTAAATAGTGTGAAATACAATTTTTTTTATTTTTTATTTTTTTATTTTTTATCTTGGAATAGAATCCTACATCTTTTAATTTTTATAATATATAACAAACATGAAGTTCAAATTCTTTTATATTCATAGACTAGAAAAATATTACAAAAAAAATAATAGATAATAAAATCATCTAAAATCTCTCAAAAGATATCATTCATAAGATGTTGAAAAGCAATTTATAGAATTGTGAGTAAAAAATGCATGACATTATATTTAAAATGTATATTCCTAGTTTGAAATGATGTCATCTATTCATCTCATTTTTTGATGCATATTAGGTTGTATATTCTTTGTAGATTTATTTTTGTATAGATCTTAGTTTATTTCAATTTATTGAAAAATCCAAATATTAAAGGTAGATGATACCTATTCTTTAAGATAATCTTATTGAGTATTTGATAATTTACATACATCCAAAATGATCAATCTTTTTTTTTACAAATAAGATAGAAGCTCATGCTAGAGATTTTAAATGACATATAAAATTCTTGGCTAAGTTCTCATTAATGTACTCCTTGAATTCAACCAATTTATTTTGTGATAAATCATAGATTGGTCCAAATAGCAATTGATATTTTTTTTTGAAGATAAATTAAACAATCATAGAGAAAATAATCTAAAAAAATATTTACATTTTTTTTTCAAAAATATCTTGATAATCTTAATACTTGCTTAGAATTCCACTTGAAGTATTTTCACCATTAGAATTAGGTGTGGTATAAATAACATAAGATGATTATTCTTTTGCACTATGCAAAATAGTTCTTATATCTACAAATAAAGATTTGGTTGCATTAAACTTATAACCTTTTACTTGATTAATAAAACTCTAAATTATACACTAGAAATAATCAAGAATATATAAATTCTAATTATAAGTCTTATTAATAGGTCTTAATTGGTATAACTACCAAAAATATAATTTTTAGTTATTTACTATTCTAAATTAGCTAAATTTGGCAACATTGATAGAAGACTAAAGATATAGATATTATCTTGCGAGATGGAGAATACAAAAGAGAATTGAACACAATTTTACTTTAGATTTGTGAGCACATGTTTAACATCACATGTAAATATGTTTATAGTTGATTGAATGAAAAGAAAAATAATGAAGTATTATACTTGATTGTTTTTATCTATTCAGTGCTCATCATTAGTATTGTCAATCGAATTAAGATCATGCAAGAAAGTCCCATTGGTAATAATATTTTGAAAAATACACACAAACATGTACATGTAGATATGTATGTATGTATATATATATATATATATATATATATATATATTACATTGGCCATATTTATTTTGATTAGTGGTGGAAGCAAAATGTTGTATTCTATCATTAGACGTCAAATTGGCATCAGATGACAGAGTTTTCAGGTTTTTCCAACTATGCAGTAGAAATTATGGAAATGATATCCGATCGCTATGTAGCATGCCAATTTCAGAGCTTATACGCAACTTCAGTATCTGCCGCTGATCACAGAAACAACTGGTGGTGAGCAGTTGTGTTGTAGTGAATTGTCCCTAAACATATGTGGACCAAGAGCTCTTTGTACATAACTGTTCTATCAACAATGTGTGCAGCACACAACTTGCCAGAATGTCAGAAGTAGTAGATGTCGAGAGTCGTTCCCAGAGAATTCTGAACATTTTCAGCGGATCAAACCAGCGTGGGTAGACGCAGAATGTTAAATATACTGAGCTAACAGGATCAATATATCTATACATTATTGCAAGAGATTACTTTCCTCAATGAAGCCCATAGCTTCAGTTGTTAAATACTCCTCATCTCTGAATCTAGATAAGAACTGCAGAAGTCTGTACACGTCGGAGAAATTCGAAACAGCTCCAAATGAAGCTCTCACAGCCATAAACCCCCAATTCCCCTCAAAGATGCCGACATCCTTCGGCCTTTCATTCGGTTTGTCTCCCAACAGATACGATAATCCGGGGTTGTTGAAGTTGCCAATGGCTAGTTTAATGTTACACCTCGCAGCAAGTTTGAGAACGATGTGGGGTGGAAGAGTTGTACCTGAGAGGTCAATAACGTTGAACGTAACAATGCTTCCTTGGCCCTCGTTAGCATGAGAGCCATAAACTCGTAGGAGGTAGCGAGAGTCATCATTTTTGTGCCTAAGGGTGCACAACCGCTGCACCAGCCATTGCATCAATGAACTCACACGCTTCTGGATAGCGGATAAACCGATCCGTTCGAGCTGGATGAATCCGAGGTTCAAAGCTGCAAACTGGAGGAGGTTCATGGTGTTATCGGTTGGGCACAAGATGTGACAGTGTTCGCCTTCATCCGCTGCCATGTTTCGGATGAACTGGACCGCTTCTGAGGGTAATGCTCGAACACAAAAAGACTCCCTTCGAACAAGGAGAAAGCCCATTCCGGAGGGGTAGCCGAATATGTGTTGAAAGGAGCCCACAATGAAGTCTGGCTGATAGGTAGATAGATCTAAATGATTCGACGGAAGGTTTGTTGTGACATCTAGGCAAACGTTCCATTTGTTTTGCTGTGCCTCTGCTATCCATTTCAGAGAATGCTTTATTCCAGAGACGTTCGATTGAGCGGGGTAGATGAAGAGGCCAACATTGCTCGCATTTCGCTTTGTTTGGCGGCGCAAGAGTTTGTGAAGTTCGTCGCTTTGAATACAGAGCTCCTCCGTGACTGGCGACAGGACAGACCTTCCACCGGCTCTGTGTGCTGATTGCATTACCTAGAACAGAGGAAGTATACGTACAGGTCGATCAGTGTGAAGATTCTTTTTAGAGTTCCACTGTCGACAAGATGTGAATTACCAATTGAATGAAGACTACAAAAATATACAAAAGAAAAGTTTTCGAAGTTAATGTAATTTCGCTTACTTGACGGACGGCAACATGATTATCTTGACAGACAAGAAGAGGAGTGCCTTTTCGAAAAGGGAAGGACTCCGCAAGAACCCGGAAGCTCTGTTGAAACCCGGCTGTAAATATGATAGAATAGTTACTTGAAGTGGTGTTAAGCATACTAAGAAGCCGGTGCTGGGTTTCAGAAACGTGGGAGAAGAGAGGATTGTCTAAAGATGACGACACGGATGTGTAACTAAGGCAAGGTCCTTCTGCCAAAATGATCCTTGAATGTTCTTCGACCTGATAATAAAATGAATTAGGACATAAGCGCTACATTTCTAGAAACTCAACAATGTTCAACAGCAAGGACAAGCAAATTGTATCAGAACTTTCTACAATTGCAGACATGAACAGTTTCAGTGATGAATGCACCTGAAACTTGGAGAACAGGGGACAACTTGCATAATCGAGATACACAAGATTTTGAAGCTGCAACTTAGGGTACTGGTCCTGTCGCACATTGTCGACGTGCAGATTATCGAAGTATCCTTCAAACTCCTCTAAAAATTCATCCTCAGCATCGTCGTAAGGGGGCAACACGGCTGAGCCGACGTCGATCTCTTCCTCCAGCATCGATGACGCCGTCCAGCTCCTCGCCCCTTTATCCAATTCCTTCGGGTCCCTGTCTCGCTTAGAACTTGCCTCCCAGGTTCCGTGTTCCTCAATATTGAAGCTTACTCTTTCACCGATCGGTAAGATGCTGAAATTGTCCACATGTAGAGAGCCCCCTAACTTTTTATTTCCCATATCGACGCTCCTTCTCCCATTCTCAATCTGTTTACTGAAACCATGAACTAAGGGAGATTTCTTCGACCCGCGAGAATCAGTGAGAGGAGAGTAGTCACTATCGCTCATGAAGTAGCTCTCAGTTGACCTTCGACCGAGACAATGTGCACTGAAAACTGGGGGAGAAATGGGAAATAGGCTTTCTGCAAAGGACACATTGTCATCGATGTCGGAGTCGGAATTCACGTACAGAGGTGTAACACATGGGATTTCATAATTTTCTGAAGCCAATGAAAGTGATTTTTGGTGAATACAAGCATCGGGCGGAGATCTTGACGCCCGTAGAGAATTCCGCGATGGAAGTTTGCCAAAACTGCGATTGTAGCTGCCATTCTCATTATCGTCATGACTGTCGTGATCTCCCTGTCCAAATTAAAACTCCAAGGCATGAGAACACACGACACAGTCCCCTGAGTAAAAACAGCCCTCTCTGTTCTCACGAAGCCTTTAGAATGAGTGTACTAGAATTCATGAATCTACGGCAGGGTAATACGAGGTTGAGAGTCAAATACCTGAGGAGAGAGTCGAGAGGAATTTCTAGAACCCTCATGTGGCCGGGATTTCGACAGCCTCGTAAACATTGCGCTCGTCATAAAAAACCTCCGTGGTCCTGTTTTCTTACATCTAGAACTTTCGTCTAACAGCTTAGACTCTGGGGATTGCTTCTGAAAAGTAGCAAACTAGATACACCGTACGCTCAATTCCTAGTAGAATGTAATTCATATTTTCAGCTGAGCGTGCAGAGTGCGCCTCTTCTGATTTCTCAAGCAGACGACTTATTAAAACAGGATGTCCAACGTTTCGAACATTTGCACTAAAAGTTCGCAAACGCTTTTAAAAAATAAAAATATACAGCATTTACAGTCTACTGTGAAGTTTCTGCCACTTCGAACAGAACAAAATGTGCTACCTAAACCACCTCCATTCCTCGACGACAGGTACACATCACAACAGACACAGCCGCAGCCATTCCCCAAACCGACATTGAGCAGTTACTAGGCCGAGCCTAGAACAAGCAATATTGCAACCATCGCTACGTAGCCCACAGAAACACCATGACATTCAATATATGCGTGAATGTGCCATACGGCCAAGTATGATGAAAGATCTAAAGTACTTCGAAGCGAAACCATACAGAGATTCTTCAAGACCCGCGCCAACCCAGGCTCGAAAACCACTTCTCAAGCTAACATGCCACCACCACAGCAATGCTCTATAAGCAGCAATCATTCCTCGATCTCCCAGTGATTTCAAGTAAAAAAAAAGGTTATGGCACTCCAGTCCAGCTTATGCGATTGAAGGTGCCGACAGGAGGAGAAAGCAGCACAACCTTGTCGTCTTTACCAACTCGCCAGATGCGTGGCCCTCGTCACTCTTGCCACTTTTATCACTAAAATTAAGAGCCCGCAGCGGCTAGACTCAACAGCCACAACTGGCTACTGCGACGCAGGAATGTAGCCATGGATGAAATAATCAGGAGAAAGGCCTGGGGTGTATTCCGCCGCCAGCATTCATCTCAATACCAGTCGTTTATGCGCAAAATGAGGATACGCGCGAAGCGCGAGGCATGGGTGCGGAGGAGAATGGCCAACAAGCAAGATTATAGTGCTTCAGCGTGGACGTGCGTTATGTGGATTAGGTCGCAAGGAGTGCGATGGGATTTGCGTCTCAGCGTGGGCCCCGATCATTGGCTTCCTCTGCTACTTGGCCGGGGATGGCGAGAACAGGTCGCCGGAAACCACCCACGGTTCTAGCCGACCCACGAGTGTTCAAAGGTGATTTTTCTATTTTATCATTTGTTTTTGTAAACTTTATATTGAGTCATAAGTAGTCATGAAAACAACAAAATAGAAAGCAAACAAGAGTGGTATGAAATCCCACGTGGCAACAATATTTATAATGTTTTTTTTGATGATAATAAAGAGTTGTAATGTAATGGTTATGTGGATAAGAAAAATTTACTAATTATTGCATCATTTTCAATAGGAAGAATTTCATATGTATTCCTCAAATATCCTAAAATATTAAGAATATCCTTGTATTCTTAATAATAGCAAATATATCCCTCACATTTTACATAATAGCAAATGAATTCTTTAAGGTGATACCCTATCATATACAAGGGATATATTTGCTATTATAAAAAACGAAAAGATATTCTTAATATTAATTATTTAAGATTGAACCTTTTAGAGCCTATCCTTCTTATTGAAAAAACATGACATGGTTGTCAATTCTCTTGCTAGTAGAGTGCATGTGAATTATGTAGAAGAAGAATGTTCAAAAGTGGAGGATTTGTCAAGGACAAAGACTCGATGAAGAAAAATATACACCAAAAGGCTATCTCGATATAATAAGTCAAAATATAAACAAGTAGGTATATTAAAAGGAAACTGGAATGGCTATTGCCGCAAGACAAGAAACTAAAGACTCTTGAACCTGGACTAGAAGCAAGAAAGGAGTTGACAAGAGTGAAGAGGGCTTCACTCTTGCCTCTATATATACTATCTAACTAGAAGCCACGTGGCGACGTTCTATAGGACCTCCAATATGTGTTGACTTTGTAGGACACATGCCTTGACTTACAAGGCAAGTTTTTCTACGTGTGGGCCACATAGTTAGCTTGATCTTCAAGCTAACAACATGTGTGGCACATGGCCAACTTGTTGACCACGTTTGTAATCCAAAAAGTCAATTAAAGGCACCTATGAAGTCAAAGCAGCGTCTAGGAAGTTTCTAGGAAGCTTCTATATTAAATATTATACAATTAACTTATTTTTATCTACTTTTACTTACTTCTACCTATTTCTATATGTAATTATTAGCTTACATGATTATGGCCGTGACATTACCCCCCCTTCTAGAGACGTGTTCCACGAGGAGCGGTCATCATATGTTGAGGAAATCTATGATGCGACGAATTATATTCGTCACATACTCTGATCTCTGTTCTCTTCGAAGATGATTGATAGGGCCTCTCAACCATCGGTAGTGTCCCATACCAGGGCGGGAAGACCACCCAGTTATTTGATCATTATTGAGGCCTTCATAACTTCCTTCGAATAGAATATTTGGAACACCATCAGGAGTTGTTCCTACCTCTAGCAAAATCACCAAACATCGGGAGTCCCTTCCCAAATCGTGATACCAAACGCGTTGTATCTCACCATCTGTTCGAGGAAGAACATGTCGTTCTTGAAGATCTTCATCTCGATTGCGTCGTCTTGAAGGTTGTGACAATCGTAATGTCTCGTTCGGTAGGTCAGCAAACGAAGGTTCTTGAGTTGAATCCGTTGGTTGTTGGCTCTCCATCTAATTAGCGTCACAAATGTAAAGAAGTTACAAACAAGGATAGGAAATTGAATGTTATCTTGCCTCAATCTTGTCTCTTTTATAAGAGAGGTTTTCATCTTGGTTTTGATGGATGTCGTTGATGAAAAAATTTGACTTTAGCTGATGCATTTGCTAGATTCCTGGATGGCTCCCATGTGCGTTCACTAATATCATATCCGCGCCAATGAACAAGATATTCCAGCTTATTTCGGCGCCGCCTTGAGTCTAATATCTCTTCCACCTCAAATTCTTCATTATTATCTACTTCTATAGGAGGCGATGGCATTTGTCTTCTTCCTTGTATATCCACTGTCTTATATGGTTCAAGAAGAGATACGTGGAATACAAGATGGATCTTCATTGACTCCGGTAGATGTAACCGATATGCAACTGGGTTGATCTGTTCAGAAACAGAAAAGGGGCCAAGCCTACGATAGTCCAACTTGTCACAAGGTCGAGTAGTCTTGATATTGCGACGAAGTAGCCATACCTTATCACCCACGTTGATTTGTGGTTGCTCCTTACGATATAGATCTGCGTTTATCTTTTGTCGTTCTTGAGCTTCCTTCAATTGTGTCTTCATTATTGCATGTAACTCTGACAACCGATTTGCCATATCTTCTGCTGCAGGATTATCAACTTTTGAAAAATCAAAAGTATCAAGTCGTGGATGATAGCCATAATTGGCAAAGAAAGGTGTTTGTTGCGTGGAAGAATGTACCGTATTATTATAAGCAAACTCTGCCAATGGCAGAAGGGTTGTCCAATCATCTTGTTGGTAGTTGATAGTACAGCTTAAATATTGCTCCAAGACTTGGTTTACGCGCTCTGTTTGTCCATCAGTTTGAGGATGGAAAGCCGAAGATAGCTTTATGTCCACTTTTAAAATCTTGAAAAGGGTCCTCCAAAATCTTGACACAAATTGAGTTCCCCTATCCGATATGATATCTTTAGGTAATCCATGATAGCGATAGATATTATCAATGAAAAGCTTAGCTGTTTCTTCACCTGTGATAGATTTTGTACATGGCACAAAATGTGCCATCTTGGTAAAACGATCTACTATCACAAATATAGAATCATAAGATCTTGAGCTTGGAAGATCTGTGATGAAATCCATAGAAACAGAAGACCATGGTTGTTCTAGTATAGGTAATGGCTGAAGAAGTCCGTAAGGTCGATGACGAGGAATTTTTGATCTTGAACAAATATCACATGATTGTACAAAGTCTTTGACTGAATTCCACATTTTTGGCCACCAAAAATCTCTTGATATGAGTTCCAAAGTCTTATTATATCTAAAGTGCCCTGCTGCTGGAAAGTCATGACGTGCTTGAAGAACACGTAAACGTGCTTCTCCTTCTGGAACATATAGGCGTCCTTCAAAATATAATAGATTATTCTTGAACTCAAACTTAGAAGGATCATGAGACTTGGAAGAATTATTCTCGATATCATAAACAAGAGGATCTGAGGACATACTGGACTGGATTTGCTTGAGAAAAGTTGAATCAACAGTCAATGTTGATTTCATTGCTCGGAGATGAAATTGCTCCGGTTTCAAGAGGACCATTCTTTGTTGCTCAAAAGCTGCATCTCCTTCTTTTGGTGCAAAATAAGAACGTCTAGATAGGGCATCGGACAAACCTTGTTGTTTTCCTGGCCGATAAGTGATAATGAACTCGAATCTTGACAAAGACATACTCCAACGAGCTTGACGACGATTCAACACGTGTGCTGACATGAAATACTCGAGGTTCTTGTGATCTGTATACACAGTGACTGGACTAGAAGCGCCTTCTAGATAATGACGCCATTCTTGAAAGGAATCCACGATCGCAAGAAGTTCTTTATCGTGGATCTCATAATTGATCTCGGCTGCTGAGAATTTTCTTGAATGAAAAGCTATCGAATGGAGTTTGTCATCTGTTCCCATTTGTGATAAAACTGCACCCAAGGCAAAATCTGATGCATCTGTTTCCATAAAAAATGCCTTGGAAAAGTCAACACGATATAAGACTGGTGCAGAGACAAACGATGTCTTCAAGGCTTCAAATGCTGCTTCCGCTTCTTGATTCCATTGAAATTTATCTTTACTAGTCAAGCGTGTAAGTGGAGCTGCAACTCGTGAGAAATCTTTGATGAAGATCCGATAGTAATTGGCAAATCCCAAGAAACATTGGACATCTCTTACCGTCCTTGGAATCTTCCAATCCACGATTGTTTGGACTTTCTTAGAATCCATCATGAGACCATCATTTGAAATGATGTATCCTAAAAAGTCAACTTGAGTAGTGCGAAATACACACTTTTCCATCTTGGCGTACAATCCTGCATCTCTAAGTTTTTGTAATACTTGACGAACATGTATTTCATGTTCTTCGACGTTCTTGGAATAGATCAGGATATCGTCTAGATAGCAGACGACAAAATTGTCTAAGAATTCACGAAATACATCATTCATGAGATGTTGGAAAGCAGCTGGTGCATTCGTGAGTCCAAAGGGCATGACATTATATTCGAAATGTCCATACCTGGTTCGAAACGCAGTCTTCCATTCATCTCCTTCTTTGATCCGTACTAGATTATATGCTCCTCTTAGATCTATTTTTGTATAGATCTTAGCTTGATTCAACTGATCAAGGAGTCCTGATATCAAAGGTAATGGATACCTGTTCTTGATTGTGATCTTGTTGAGTCCTCGATAATCAACACACATTCGTAAAGATCCATCTTTTTTCTTTACGAATAGAATTGGAGCTCCTGCTGGAGATTTTGAATAGCGTATGAAATTCTTCGCTAAATTCTCGTCAATATATGTCTTGAGTTCAGCCATCTCATCTAGCGATAAACTGTAAATTGGTCCAAATGGTGGCTGAGTTCCTTCCTTGAGGTCGATTGAACAATCATATGGACGATGCTCAGGAAGAATATCTGCATTCTTTTTCTCAAAAACGTCTTGATACTCCTGATATTGACTTGGAATGCCACTTGAAGTCTTTACGTTTTCAGAAATAGGTGCAGCATAAATAGCAAAAGTTGATCCTTCTTTTGCTGC